ATGTGGAGGAAGAGGCAGAGCAAGAGGAACAGGAACTCCAACTACTTCTGCCCCTGCTGCTACTGGTAGAGANCAAGTTCATCATCCCAGCAATCCCAGAACAACCACTGAATTCTGTTATTGTCACTATTAATTTAATTTGGAACTGCTATTTAGGTTTGTTGTTAGTGTTGTTATTTTGTTAAGGCAGCCTGCTGTTATTTTGGTATGTTGTAAAACTGGGCAGCGTATATTTTTGTTAAGGCAGGCTGCTGCTATTAGGTGATTGTAATAAACACCTTTATTCTATGATGAAATATATTTTTAGTGTTGTTTGATAATTTCTGGGCAGATGTGTCTTTAGTGTTGTATGAATGCTGTTATTTTGGTATGTTGTTAAGCATTTGTGCTGTCATTTTTGTATGCTGTTATTTCTGGAAAATTTCAGCATTTGAGTTGTATATCATCCGCTAATTGATTGTGTTTCAGTATTTTATCAGTCACAATTTGAGGTGTGTTTTAACTGTACTATCAGCTCACACAACAACAAAGTCAAACGAAACAACATTAACAGTTGCCAAAAAAATCATTCTAGCTCACACAGCAACAAACTCAAACAAAACAACATTAACAATTGCCAAAATATTTCATTCATTTCTAACAAAGGGATACAAAATCTACCAAAAAACTTCATTCATTTTCTTACACTATATAACAATCTTTAGAACTACCTAACACAATCAACTTCAACACAATTGCAATTAAAATCAGCACACACAATCTCCTCCAATTTCTTTGGTTTCTATTTTCCTTCAACAATGCATCAAATGCCCTCTTCTTCTTCAGCAGCCCCAAAATCACTATTTTCAAGTGCTCTGGAGTTGGGGGGTCAAACCACATAAAGAAATTACATGCCGATCGTCTGTCCCTCTGAAAAATTGAAGAGACAAAATTATTACGGAATATAAAATCGATTAAAAAAGTACAATTGATATTTACCTCATAAAATGGACATCCGTAAAATCGACGACCCGGATTATCAACACTCCATGACTGTATCACCACAGCTTCTTCACCACAATAGCAAAATTTTCTCAGATTATGCATTTTTCCAAATCTTAAAATTGAGCCCTAGAAATTTAACCCTTATGCCAAAAAAGAGAAGGAAGAAATAGAAGAAGACTGTAATATTGGCTTCGAGCTTCAAGAAGAGGAATAAATTTTGGCTTCAAGAAGATAAAATTTTCTTCAATTTAAAGCTTTCAAGGAGGAAGAAGAAGATGAAAATCGGGTTAGTATATAGATAGAAATGGGTTAAGGCCCTTTTAATCTTTTAAAAATGGTCATTGGAATGTGTTTTTGACCGTTTATTAAAGACAGAAATTGTCTTGAAATAGTGACCACGCGCTTGGTCCAGTTTGTATTACACACGCTTAGACCTGGTCAAAGAAGGTGTGTACTAGGCACACTTTAGAAAGGTTGCGTGTGTAAGGTTATTATGGTCCACAGAAAGTGTGTAAGCGGGATTTGGGTCATAGTTCGGGTGCCAACTTATGTTATTTCCCTATGTATTATGCATTTCATGTCAGTATCCCCCAGAGGCACTCAGATGTTACAGGTTGTATCTCATCTATCTCTCTTTACATTAATGTTCTTGTTTATGCTTTCCTGCCTTACATACTCGGTACTTTATTTGTACTAACGTTCTTTTTTTGCCTGGGGACACTGTGTTTCATGCCGCAGGTCCCGATTGATAGGTTGACAGTCTTCCTAGTAGGCTATCAGCTCAGCGGATGTGTTGGTACACTCCACTTGCTCCAGAGTTGCCTATTTGGTTAGTATGCTTTGGATATGTATTGATTGGTATGGCGGGCCTTGTCCCAACCTTTGTGATTTTATGTACTCTTAGAGGCTTGTAGATAGATGTCAGGTTTATGGATACTTGTATGGCTTTGTTGGCCTATGTGTTGAGTTTACAAATGGTCATGTCGGCATTATAAGCCCGTATATCACATGTATAAGTTTGTATATCATGTTGGGTTATCATATGTTGAGTATTCCCTTTACGTTTTATTCTTATTATCTCATGACGGGTTTCTGGCTCATTTACTCAAGATAGTATAATAAGAAAGATATGTTATATTGGTACTCGATTGAGTAAGGCACCGGGTGCCCATCGCGGCCCTTCGGTTTGGGTCGTGACGACTGTTTAAGAGGAAGTGTCAAATGATGAGGCGAAAATCGAAGTAAAGCCTATTTCACAATTCTCATTAATGGTCTTTGATCTTGTCATCTTTAGGTGTATGTTGTATAAGTTGAAGTAGTGATTTTTTTTTCAAACAAGACATAAAGATTTTGATATCTGTTTTTTGTTGTATATATTTATACTTTACAATTGTAATAACTTTGAGTCGTGATTTTCTCATATGTCGAAGTGAGATTCTAATGTGCTTTTCTTTTCATGTTATATATAGATTCATCATTTTAAAAACACATGTTTCTATATGTTCTTAATTCTTTTTGCCTCTATTTCTTTTCTTCAATGAACTCTTTTGAATTGTTTTTTGTTGTCTAAAGTTCTTTTTCTTCTTACACTAATAACTCCTTAAATTTTCTTCAAATAGGTTTCGTAAATTTATAACTTGTTTACTCTAATGTTCTTTTTCAAAATTCTCAGTTTCTTTCCATGTTTTCATAATACTCAAAGATTTATTTATTTTTGGTGTTCAAAAGAAAAAGAAAGAAACCAAAGCAAATAAGGATGAGATCAAAAGAAGAATGGCCCCACAAAGAAAATGTGGGGCGTTGTGAGTTGTGACCTTTCTTAAGGAACAAAGATAATTCTACCACCATCATTGTGAAGCTTTACTTGTATTATGAGGGTTGTGCCAAAAAAATCAAACGTTTAATTCACTAGGCATTAATCTATGGCATTGACAATTTGTAGATAACTGTAAATTAACATATAATATAATATAATTAATTAAGAAAATCACATGTTATAATAGATTTTACCGATCAAATTTTTAACATTGTGAATGGGTAGGCTTTCAGTAGTTTAAAAATCACTAGACAACAAGTTAATAACTTTATGAATAAAGTATTTTTGATTTTCGGATTATGCTATAGATGATTGAAAATTTATTGAAGTTCATAATCAACTATCAAACAATACTTATTATTCTAATATTAGGATTTACACACAATTGGTTTTGTTTCTTATCTTATTAAGTGTTATTGAAAGTTTTTTTATTAAAAAAATTGAATGTTCTTGTGAATGCTTGGTGAATTTTATTTTTTAAAGTGTGTCATTATCTCTAATTAATGTTGCAGTTACTAAATTAAATATATCCCATAAAAGCATGCTTTAACTACCAAAATAATGCAATAAATTAAAGAAATAAAAGTTTTAACATTTACGTTGCAAGGTAAGAGGATGAGGTCTTCCTAATGCTCTTTTGTCAAAATATATGTCTTTTTTCTCATAGAAATTTTCAACTTCTCAATATACAAATGACAATAATTTAATTTATTTTATTTGGGTAGTTAGTAATTTTAAGAATCTATGCTACTTTTATTTTAATTTTTTATTTACTAGTTTTGAATTTTCTTAATTAGATAAAACTTAATTAATCTTCATTGGTAATATATAATTAATTGTACATTACATAAATTATTTGCTACAAATAAACAAAATTTATGAATTAAACCAAATGTATTTTATTTATTGGTGATTTTCTTTCTCATAAAAAGGGATAATATCTACATTTGTTATTAACCTGATAATTTTACTAGTTCTTATATAAATATAAAAGGCGCAAAATTTCCAAAACAAATATGACAATAATTTAATTTATTTTATTTGGGTAGTTAGTAGTTTTAAGAATCTATGCAACTTTTATTTTAATTTTTTTATTTATTAGTTTTGCATTTTCTTAATTAGATAAAACTTAATTAATCTTCATTGGTAATATATAATTAATTGTACATTACATGGATTATTTGCTACAAATAAATAAAATTTATGAATTAAACCAAATGTATTTTATTTATTGGTGATTTTCTTTCTCATAAAAAGGGATAATATCTACATTTGTTATTAACTTGGTAATTTTTTAAATTTTATTTACTACTTCTTATATAAATAAGAAAGGCGCAAAATTTCCAAAACAAAGAAATGAAGCTACAGCGATTCGAACCTTGGTTTTCCCTAGAAAAACAACACGGTTGACCAAGATAGCTGCCATGCTATATGTTCTGAGTGGTGTCACTGTATTATATTTATTCGTTTTTTTATTTTTGTATTTTAATTATATATACTTAGTAAAAAATTTCAACGAAGCGGTGTTTTTTCATTGGATTGGTAAACGCTGGCTATTTTTGAATGACCAGTCCGAAAACTGACTAGACCGTGCTATTTTTACAAAAATTAACTATAGAGTGCAATCCTATTGAAATTTCGAAGCGATATTTGAGAAGAACCCGGCCAAGAGTTTTTAGGCCCCGTTTGGCCAAAATAAATTTGGGATTTATTTTCAAAACTCATGTTTGGCTATACATTTTTCCCATATTTTGGCAAAATCCCAAATCCCAAACCCCAAAATCATCCCAATTGCTGATTTGGGCCAAAATCCAAAAACTTGGGAACTATATACATATTTTTCCAAAATAAAATTGGAAAATATGTTTTGAAAAAATATGTCCAAACACATTTTCATTTTCAAACAAACTTCATCCAAATCAGATTTTCAAAATAAATTTAAAATCTATGGTCAAACGCTAGCTTAAATAGTTAGTTTTGAGCAGTAACCAGACTCACCACTGTGTAAAGTCATTCGTTAAATTTTATTATCCCGTTTGTCCGAGATCAAAATTGCAGCAAAATAAAAGCTTAGAGGACTATTTATGCTGAGTGTTATATTTTAAAAGGATAAAATTAGACGAACTCTTAAATATGAGGGACCATTTGGTCAAAAACTCACCCAACGACCATAATGATTATGTGGACAAAAATCCCGTCCTAGGGAGGAAAAGTCAAGTCTAGTACTTGTATTCTTCTCCCCCATGATTTCAATCCTGCCTCCATTTCATTGTATTACTTGTTGGTTTTCAATTCACAAAATCCACCGTTGATTGAATCAAGAAAAGACTAGGAGGAGGGGTAATAAATCTATATGGAGAGAATAATTGGGGAGAAGTACAAGCTAGGTAGGAAGATTGGAAGCGGCTCTTTTGGCGTTATATATCTGGGTCTGCCCCTTCTTCTCTTTTTCTCTCTATATTTTTGGATATTTAGGTTGTTATTAAATTTTATAGAATCTGATTGTTTTTTTATGCTGTATGCTAAACCTTCAGCTACCCACATCGAAACCTTTGAGATTGTTGCTGTCAAAATTGTAAGCTTTCTTGCCTAGATTTTATCTCTCCCTCTCTTTATTTGGTTTAAGAAGTTGTTGCAGCAGTTGTTTGGCAGTTGCTGTTGTTATTTATCTAGCTATATTAATCATTTACTACAGCTTTAAAATTGTAAGCTTTGGATGTGGCGCTTCATTGTTGATTGTTAGTCTACCTTATATTTTGATCAATTAACATTTTTATTATAAAACACCAAAATGATGTGAACAAATTTATACAAAGTGAGCATGTGGCTTAACACCAGTTCTAAAAAATTCTCATGCTCTTTCTTAAGTTGTCCACTGTTAAAATGGCATCCCATAATTTTCTCTAAAAAGGATATTCCATATTGTACACTGCTTTGTGATTTCCAAACTTATCTCCTTCCCTTTTACACCCCCTCCATGCCAACTCCAACCAATATGAATAAATTGTAAAGGATTTTGTCTCTGCCACTTGGATATAGTCTTATCTCCTCCCTCCCCCACTGAATAATCATGCATTTTAGTGGAGAAATTCCTCAACCTCGTCGCATTCTCAATATTAGATGCCCTTCTAAAACTTATATCTCATGGTCCACCGACCATCCGAATTCAAGTAATTGGCTTCTGTAACTTCTATGACATTCACCTGACCATCACCAAACCATATACCTACGATACGAATAACATTCTCCTATGGTATCCCTTGTACCATACATCTTTTGAGAGATGTACTCTAATATCATTATCCTCATTACAGCCAATGCATCTCGAGTACTTTTCCATCCCCTCTATAATTCACTTCACTAGCTCACTCAATAAGAGTTTCACCCTCTGCTAGTCGTCCAGCATCTAATAATCATCCGAGGAAATATTCATAACCATTTTCCTAGTAGTGCCATCTTGAAGGTGGGCAACCTTCGGATGGTGTATCACCCACTGAATGGAAATAAAGAACTTCCTCCATTCCAAATAATATTTATTCTTTTATCTATTTGCAACATTTGCTTCCATAAAGCATTCTCCTCTCAGGCAAATCTTTCATCATCATCATCATCATCATTGTCAGTGTACTTAGTTGTTTGGACAGATGTGGTTTACTCCTCTGACCTCTAGTTCCAATTTAGTCCCAAGTTCCAATATAATGGGGTTTCTTTCTGAAACGGGATTTGGTATGCTCATTTGCCTATGGCTGCTTTTAGTAAATAGTTGTGTCACTTCTTTTGCATTATGTGATTAGCTACTCGTTTTGTCATCTGTATGTAATGTTAAATAGAAGCCATCCTTGTGCTCACAAAAACAGTTTCAAGACTAAAGTGATAGTCTTCCTAAGGATTATATTTGATTTGTGCTCCTACGTATGTAAACACGTAATACTGATTGACCAATGTAGTTTGTAGATTAATTTGAATCCCATAATTATCCTACCTCTTCCATTTCTATAGCATGATGTATTTCCTGGTTTAATTCCAACAAACAATCTTCTTTAGAATGGATTATTCAAAAAAAAAAAATACTTACATAAGATGCCCAAACATCAACGACATGGATGAAGGATGTGAGGATATCTAGTTTTAAGCAACATTTGAGTTAGAAATCTTAGTTGTGGTTGCTAGAAAGGCCGAATCAGTCATTTGATTCTGCTCTCTGTGATTGCAGGAAAATAGGCAGACAAGACATCCTCAGTTGCTTTATGAGGCAAAGCTGTACACTATACTTCAGGGAGGAAGTATGTCTTCCTTTATCTTTATGTTTAATGTTTGTTATCTTTGTTATTCATTATTAGTTATTACTTGTTTGTTTTGATTTCAGGTGGTATTCCTAATATAAAATGGCGTGGGGTTGATGGGAATGACAGCGTCCTCATTATTGACCTGCTTGGTCCCAGTCTTGAAGACCTCGTTGTACACTGTGGGAGGAAATTCTCACTAAAAACTGTTCTAATGTTGGCTGATCAGATGGTAATCAAAATATTACATACCTCTGTTTCTCTTTGTTAATGCCTTTATCCCATGACGTCTATCATGGAATTATGAATAATGGAGTTCATAACTACTGGGGATTCTTTTGTGTGACAACTTAGATCACGAGAATAGAGTATTTGCATTCAAAAGGATTTCTACACAGAGACATAAAACCAGATAACTTTCTCATGGGTCTTGGCAGGAAGGCAAATCAGGTGATGATCTTGTTAGATAAGCTTCGCGGTCATGTCATTTAACCAATAATTGATTTTCCTCTAATATTCTGTTTTACCTTTGCCTTTGTATTCTTGTTGCCCCTATTGATGGAGCAGGTTTACATTATTGATTTCGGACTTGCAAAAAGATATCGTGATCCCGCCACAAACCGTCATATTCCTTACAGGTGTGCCTATATTTGGTTTTATGCAACTTTCCTCTGAAAGCATATGACATTCACTGTTCTGTATATTCCCTTTTGCCCTGCTCTTTCAGTAACAGAACTTCATTTTTAAGTGAAAATTTGATCACACTTGCATTTTATTGATTGTTATTATTTTGTTTATGTGATATTTGGTTCTTTGCTATTATTAAGGAGTTGATGATTGAAAACTGTGTATTGCTTGAAATTTGTCAAAATTGGAAAGGCATATCCTATTTATTTATAGAAGAATCCCAGTTGGCTTCACGACCTAAGAAAGAAACCCCTTTTACTGGTTTTCTGTTTCTTCCCCAGTTTAAATTATTTTTGTTCTTTCCAATTACTTGAACAGTGGTTCTTGCCACTTCTTGGTGCTGAGTACTCTTCTGCCTCTTGTACTGTTACAGAGAGAACAAAAACTTGACAGGGACAGCAAGGTATGCCAGTTGCAATACACATTTGGGGATAGGTAAAATTCTGTTGTATGTTGGTTTCTTATCTCTGAGATTAGACATTGTACTAAAATATCCTCTTTTAAAATCTTTAGAGCAAAGTCGGAGGGATGATCTGGAATCTCTTGGCTACGTTCTTTTATACTTCTTGAGAGGCAGGTGTGGCCACTTTCCCTCAATGCTATTTCTCGTTTACTATTGTTGATTTTTCTTTGGTATGTTTTTTGTTCTTTTCTGTTATTGAGAAAATTAATGGCTTGACTTTCTCATGTAGCCTTCCA